ACGGTCCCCTGCAGCTGCAGCCAGCCCGGGTCCCGGGTGCCTGCCGCCAGCCAGAGGGAGGGAAGCCCGGGTCCTGGGTGTGGGGCAATCAGGCAGGCAGGCAGGCAGGTGAGTGGTTAGGAGCCAGCGGTCTCGGGTTGTGAGAAGCAGTCGGACATCTTCTGAGGGGTCCTGGATTGGAGGATGCAGGCAGGTCTGAGGGGACCCCCACCCCATGCACGAATTTCATGCACCAGGCCTCTAGTGTTTAATAATAATAAAGTTTAAGAGTTCTTCTGGAGGAAACAAGCATTAGCAGTTTGATTCTGTATCTTCTCTACTCTGGGGCTCCAAAGACATTCTTTGAGACTATTGAATGATTAACAAGCATCCACCAAGTAACAAGCCTTCTAGTGAAGGTGGATGACACTTCGTTGCATAACTTGGTGAATATACTAAAAACAACTGAACAGTACATTTTTAAAAGGTGAATTTCATGTTATATTAATATCTCAATCATTAAAAAAAAAAAATCCCTTCCCCCCCATACAGGCATTCAGTAAAAACCAAGCACTACAAAACAAATATTTCTTTTTAAAATTCAAGTTCCACAATATAATGTGCTACATTTTGGAGACAGATCTTCCTCTGAGGACTGCTGGTTTTATTCTATACTTATTTTTTTAATGGCAGAGTTTTGAGAAATGTTGAGGGTGGAACAGTGGAAAGAGCATTCATTACACATTACTTTAGAAGCCAGGGCTGCTCTTAAATCCAAGTGCTATAGTCTGAATATTTGTGCCCCACCTCTACCCCCCAAATTCTTAAGTTGAAATCCTAACACCTGAAGTGATAGTATTGGGTGGGGCCTTTGGAGGGCCCTACATCATGAGAGTGGAGCCCTCATGAATGGGATTAGTGTCTTTACAAAGAGCTCTCTTGCCCCTGCTGCCATAAGAGGACATAAGAAGTCAACAGTCTAGAAGAGGGCCCTTGCCCAACCAGGCTGGCACCCTGATCACTGACTTCCAGCCTCCAGGACTGTGAGAAATAAATGTCTGTTTTTTATCAGCTGTAGTATTTTGTTATAGCAGCCCAAATGGACTAAGACACCAAGTAACTAACCCTGATTAGCACTGCTAAACCTATTTTTCATTTACTGAAGAAAAAAAAAAACTGAACTAGGTGCAAACTGGAACTTAAAGTACATTCTACCATAGAAAATGTTTGTTCTGGTATATATAACCCTTGTCTTCATATTTTCATTCATTTTAGCACCTCTACTTTGAAGAGCAATTACTTAGCCAATTTACTTGGCTCTGTACAGAGTATTGAACTAAAATGAATTACACCTAAATGGGTTCTACTTAGTCATGTCTTTGGAACCCTATATTAAATTTTCAAAGAGATCCTAGGTCAACACTGAAACCTAAGCTGGGATGGCTGGAAACAGGTATAACCAGCAGCCTTCTAGGGGAAGGTGGATGACACTGTACAAAAGCATCTTCCTCTACTGATTGCTCAAGGTGCCCCTATAAAATTTTTTAAAAAAGAAATTAGCCTGTTTTCAGGATAAATGACATATTCATCCTAGACAAAAATTTTAAAAGTCATTCATCCTAGTGCTCTATCTCTAGATTCCTTCAAGTGCTCTCTGGTATCTAGTTTAAATACACACACACACAGCAAATTTCAGCTATGGCTTAACAACAAAAGAAACATGTTAGCCCTACTGTCTATGTCCTCACTATAAAAAAAAATTGCAAACTTTATGATTCCTCCTTTGTAAACTCAATCTAAGTGCTGTTTCCATTTTTCCCCCTATTGCTTCCAAGCATAGTTTTCTGCTCTGATGGTATTTTATGGACTTAAGTGGGCTTGGAACATGCAATCCAACAGTCCCACAGAACTCAGGACCTCAATTTAGAAAATCCATTCTTTTTCAAATAGATATCCTACAAAGGATAATTTTTAAAAACATAACTCACATTTTGTAGAAGCAGCTGGTAAAGTCTGTAACATCAAAATAAGTCTCTGATAAAAAAGAAAAAGTTGACCATAATGTAGGGACTTTCCTTACAACCACTTCCCTACACATTTTTACATCTCTAACTCCCAGTAGGTCACAGAGAAAAAGAATTAAGAGTAAAACTACAAATTAGCAACTATCAGGAAGAGGAAAGTTCTCCTGGGTAAGAGTTAATGCCTAACCCAGAACTCATTGTTCAGTATGAGTTTTGATACATATAAGAAGGGACATGAGCCCTAGCCGCCTTGGATCAGTGAATAGAGCATTAGTCTGCAGACTGAAGAATCCCAGGTTCGATTCCGGTCAAGGGCACATGCCTGGGTTGCGGGCTCGATCCCCAGTCATGGGGCGTGCAGGAGGCAGCTGATCAGTGATTCTCTCTCATCACTGATGTTTCTCTCTCTCATTCTCCCTTCCTCTCTGAAATCAATAAAGAAATATATTTAAAAAAAATAAAAAGAAGGAACATGATACCTAAAATGCTGGTTCCAGGACTGTAGGATTAATCATTTAAAAAGCATAGAATATAAGGGAAATATCAACCATACTGCTTTAGTATTTTAATTTTGATGTTGATAACACTATAACAAAGATGACTTCTTTTTCTTATTAGTATTTTATCTTGAGGACACAATATCTGGATTTATGTCTTATTCTTTAGGTATTTTGTATATCACGAAGATCTGTACTATTCTAGGGAGTGATAGCTTAGGAGTGAAGATGTTTTGAACTTATTCGTGTTTAGAGGGTATCTGAAATTAAACCAAGCAGATCCATCTACTCAGACCCTAACCATTGCCCAAAAGTAAATTGCTTGAAGAAATCAGTTCCCAACGATTATAGGTGGAGAGTTTTTGATGTCCATATTCAAGTGTAGATCAAAGAAGCTCAAATACAAGGATTGTGGACTGACTGAAATGACAACTGGATTGAGCAAAAAAGGGATGAAGACGATTAAGACTCAAACTCAGGATAAACTAAGGCAATGGAAGGACTCAGACAGAACATGTAAAATTCCTTAAATAAAAATTTATTAGCTTAAAAAAAAAAAAGTTAATGCCTAGTCCGCCTAGTCATTCAACAACTGACCACTATTCCAGACCACTGCTCTAAGGATAGCTGTCCCTGATGACTGATGGCTGTCCCTGAATGGCTAATAGGTATAGCTAGGCTGGAAATAGGTCTAGCTATAGTGGTGCTGATGGCTCCAGAGTAAGGAGGGAGGACCAAAAAAGAAAATGTCTGGATAAAAGGGATCTGTATGATAAAGCACTGGAAATAAGCACTTTTAGGAGCTGTTAAGTAGATTAGTTTAAGTAGCCAAAATGGCTTGATATAAGCAAAGAAATAAAAGCTAAGTAAGCTTCATTGTTCAAAGGGAAAACATCAAACAACCACACAAGCAAAAGAAATACCCATCAATAAAACAACCAAATCCAAACTGTGCTCACATATATGTACATACTTGCAAAAGTATTTCTCCAAAGTCTCTCTTTGCCTCTAGAGAGAAAATTGTAGCAAAAATTTCTGAAGAAACTAAACTTTTATGGTGTCCACTTATCTAAGAAGTACTATAATATAGAACTTTAAAGAGAAATCAACCATCTGCTCTCACAAATTGCTGGGAATAACTACGATCCAGTTCCATACCCTCACTAGAATGCAAGGACATTCAGCCCTTCCCTTTTTCTCTTTAAGCTAATACTGACAGTTCCTAAAATAAGCAACTTTTATTTATGTATGTATTTATTTATTTATTTAATCCTCACCTGAGGACATTTTTTCCTTTGCTTTTCAGAGAGTGGAAGGGAGGGAGGGATGGTGCGAGAGAAACCTTGGCCGGGAACCAAACCCACGATCCTGGGCGGACAGATGTTCTAACCAGATAGCAACACCGGCCAGGACAATAAGCAACTTTTACGTAAGGAGAATACTTAAGTGCACTCATTTGATATTCCTACAAAATCAGTACCTGAAAGCATGCTATTACTGAAGCAGCCCCTAAATACAGGCAGATTTTTAAAGACCGAACTTAACTTGAAACCACTGAAAGTTTGTCTACTACCTAAGGTCAGAACCGCACATGGCTACTATTAAGTTATAACAAATGCTCGTGTCTGAATAGACTAGTTAACTGACACATAACATAAAAAAAGTGACTTATACCCAACAACCTGAGTGAGGTAAACGATTTTGACACACTGAAAATTCCAAGCCTGTCACTGACGGAGGAAAGTCCAAGTCCCACTTAAGAAAGGGAGCACACAAATTAATGTGATTTCCTACCCATGTCACATGAGGTGCTCTACCTTTGTGACATTTTGTGAACTTTACAAGCTTACAAAATGCGAAGGGTGAAAAAGATCTTTGTATTGATAGCCAACAGTTTCTGTCGGATCACAAGACTGCAATGCATCTTGGGATTCCTTTAGACCGGTCGGTGCCACAGATATTTAACACGTAATTACAGTTTCAATAATAGAAGTTGCAGCAAGAGACGCTCTCTCCTAGGCCTCAGGGTGAAGAGAAAACTCGATTCGTCCTCCCCAACTCCTCGGACCTTTCAACGCCCACCTACAGACTCGGGATTCCATCTGTCCGCACTTCTAGGCCTCGTGTTACTGCCCTGCCGCCGCCCCCTCTCCGTTCCATACGGTTCCCGGCTTAAGTGGGGAACTGGGGCCCGGGGCCCGGCCCCAAGCCCGACCGTGTCCCCAGCGCGCTTCTCCCGCCCCGCCCGGCCCTCCGCCGCGGCCACCCATGAGGCCGACTCCCCGGCCCCGGGCCGCCCCACCCAAGACTGCCGGCGCCCGACACCGCTGTCAGCGCCCCACGTGCTGCCGGGCCCCAAGTCCCCCGGCACTGCGAGGCGCACCGCCTCACCCCAGCCCACCCCAGTCCATGTGGGCCCAGGCCCCCAGGCCGCTGCTCCCGCCCTCGCAGCCCGGCTTCCTCCCGCGTCTCGGGGCTGCCCCGAGTCCCGACCCTTTACCCGAAGAGCCTCCCGCGCCGCTGCCGGTTCCGTGGTTGTTGGCCGAGGCGCCGGCTGAGGGTGGCGGCGGCTGGGCCAGGCCCCGCAGGAAGGACGGCACGAACTCGGCGGCGTGGACATTGGGCACGAAGGGTTTGGCGTTGACGTTGAGTTGCCGGCTGAAGGCCGCACTGAGGGGTTCACGCTGGGCCTCGCCCGCCGCCGCCGCCAAAGGGCCGCCAGGGCCACTGCATGAGCCCGGCCCGGGGGCTTCCATGTCCGCCTGGTCCCAGCAGTCGGGCGCCGAGTCGCAGCTGCTGCTGCCGCTGCTGCTCCCGCCGCCGCCGACGCCGCCGCCACCACTGCCCGGATCCATGATCGGGGGGGCCGTGTGTGTGGTGAAGAGAGGGCGGGAAATGGAGGCGGGGGCGACCGGCCGGGAACGAGCAGGCCGCGCTGACCCCGGGAATCGGCGAGGCAGAAGGGCCGAGGGCTAGCAACACAAACTCCGGCGGCGTCGCGGCAGCGGCTCCAGTCCCGTCTCCGCACTCGCGACGACGGCGGCGGCGGCGGCTCAATCCTCCTCGTGTAAGCGAGCGGATCTCCTCCCACCCAACCCCAACCACCTCCGACAGCCTCAGCGCCAACCCCACGCCCGGCACGGGTTGACCCCTCGCCGCCACCCGTACCTTCGCCTTGGTAGTTCCCGGCCCTGTGCGTTCCCGCTTCCGGCTATGAAGCGCAGCGAAGACGGGACTACGAGTTCCGGCAGCGTCCGCGCGACCCCTCTGCGGTTTTCCCGGAGGCTGACGGGAGTCGAAGTTCTGGGGTCCGGAGCAACCGGAAGCGGCTCGGGCTCCCGGCAGGCAGCGCGAGGAAGCTGCGATCTGGTGGCGGCTCAGCAACCCCACCTGTCACGGCGTGGGGGCAGGGGTCACCGAGGCGAGTCCTGGCGCGGCTTGGCGAGTGTCTCAGCCTGCACGGCGGTCCACGCGTCCTGTGAGGCACAGGACGCGGGGGAAAGCTCTCAGCTCCTGGAAATTCCTTCTTTTTCACCGCCTTCTGTGCCTCTCTGAATCCCTACCTGTTCTCTTTCTTTCCCCCTTCCTTCTCCCCTCCCCCAGCCAGATTTTTTCCTGCATTTCAAAGCTGACGCAGAGCGCGTTTCATTTTATGTATTCATTTGGTGGAAGAGGCTGTAAAACCGTGAGACATTACAACTTAAACTGTGATGTGGCTCGTAAAGCGCTCGGGCCCAGGCTCTGCCCCGGCAGAGGATATTATTAACTGGAAAGTTTCAATGACTCACTGTTGGACTAGTCATTTAAATCCTTCACCCAAACTTTTCCATCCCCTCCTCCTCCGGCCAAGGGCTTTGCAAATTAAACGGAGGATTGCCGCATTCCTTGGTGTAGCCAACTGTACCCAACTAATAGGGTTATTTTGGTACATCCAGCTTCTTCTGTGCACCATTAGTTCCATTAACGTGGTTTTATTTTGAATGGTCGGATTCGCTCAAGTTTACCCTCTTGGTACTTTGTTGACTGCATCTCACGCTGACAGGTTGCGTTTAGATAAGCATGTGAAAAGAAAAAAACAAAAGATAAATACTTCGACACAACTGTATGAAGTAGGAAAATAACTCTGAGGACCCGTTAAGTTTTCCTGTAATTCATCCATGTCCAAGCAGAGAAGAACATATTGCTGATATTTTTCTGCAAGGAGTCTAGACAAAGTGCTCCTAATCTACTATTTAAAGAATAAAGGCACGGATACACAGAGACTAGGTATTTCTTAACCTTATCTAGATCTAGATATGAGTGTTAAACGCGTGTAAAGACAAAAGAAAACTCAGCTTACATACAGAAGGCCTAGAGGCATATGAAAAAATGCTCAAAGTCACTCATCATCTGAGGGATACAAATCAAAATGCCAGTGAGGTATCACCTCACACCTCTCAGAATGGCTATCAACAAATCAGCAAACAAGTGCTGGTGAGGATGTGGGGAAAAGGAACTCTAGTGCACTGCTGGTGGGGATGCAGACTGGGCAGCTTCTGTGGAAAACAGTATGGAGTTTCCTCAAAAAAATTAAAAATGGAATTCCAGTTTGACCCAGTGATCCCACTTCTAGGAATATATCCTAAGAAATTGGAAACACCTATTAGAAAGAATGTATGTACCCCTATGTTTATAGCAGCACAATTTACAATAGCTAAGATTTGGAAATAGCCCAAGTGCCCATCAGCAGATGAGTGGATAAAAAATAACTTTGAGCCCTAGCCGGCGTGGCTCAGTAGATAGAGCATCAGCCTGCGGACTGAAGGGTCCCAGGTTCGAGTCCGGCCAAGGGCACATGCCTGGGTTGCAGACTCAATCCCCAGCAGGGGTTATGCAGGAGGCAGCTGATCAATGATTCTCTCTCATCATTGATGTTTCTATCTCTCTCTCCTTCTCCCTTCCTCTCTGAAATCAGTAAAGAAATATATCTTAAAAAAATTTAAAAAAAATAACTTTGGTACATTTACACAATGGAATACTATGCAGGTGTAAAAAGAAAGAACTCTTACCATTTGCAACAACATGGCTGGACCTGGATGGTATTATGCTAAGCAAAATAAGCCGTCAGAGAAAGATAAGTATCATATGATCTCACTCATGTGGAATCTAATGAGCAAAATAAACTGATGTACAAAATAGATCCAGAGACACAGAAACATGGAACAGACTGAGGAACCTCAGAGGAAAGGGGGGTGGGGGTGGAAGGAAGAGATCACCCAAAGAACTTGTATGCATATATGCATAATCCGTGGACACAGACAGTAGGGTGGTGAAGCCCTGGGGTGGGGGGTGCAGGGTGGGCTAGTAGAGGTCAGTGGGAGGGAAGGGAGACATATGTAATACTTGCAACAATAAAGATTTTATTTTTTAAAAAAGAACTCACCTTAATGAGACAGGTCAAAAACAAAGCTGTCAGTTACCTTTCAAAACAAGTTCTACATTAATGTGGTTTGAAATTGTGTTTAATGTTAAACTAGCAAATTTCCTGTGTGCTTTTTTTCTTTAACCCATAACATTTGGAAAATGTAAAGAAACCAGATACCTCCATTATAACAAGTTTCTTGTCAGGTCTGTGGTCCATGCTCCCTTAAATCTTTTGGACGCTTCCCCCGCCTGCCCCCCCCCCAAAAAATAATGTATTCCTCTGATTAATACAAAGTTCTGGTTACAACCTAATATAGTTCTCTGAAGACCCAATTGTATGCTTCTTAAAAGTGTCCCATTTTAAAGTCGGTATTAATTGATTGCCCTCAGATTTACAGAGAACCTACATAGGAGACCTGCATTGCTATTGATTGATAAATATTTTTATCTTATATTCCCAAGAAGAAAATACAATATGTGTGAAATAAAGTGCCTTCTCACTCAAGATTTGCACTCCCCGACCTGTTCCTAAGAAATTGTCAATACAAGCAGATGACTCAAAGAGTGAACTACTCTGTCCTCCCACCACCTTGTCATTGGATACCACACTTCAAGATGCGTCACCCATAGGATGATCGCTCCGATGGGTCGATTCTTCACATTTAATTAAATTAAAGTTTCTTTGTACCTTGTGCTTTTCCCAGGGACAAAGACAGAAACTGCTAAGACTGCAGCTTAGACAAGCAGTTGATGTCATTAACTTGCATATCCCTGAATAGGATAATTATGGATATTCAGGAAAGAATCCACTCCATTGGTTTTCAAAAGCCTTGACCAGCCAGGGTTGAGGCACTGCTTCAGCCAGACAGGGAGGAGCTCTTCTTAATAATTACCGTTGAGCTAAGACTGAGCAACTGAGGTCAGGGTCTTTTCTTCATCTTTTTATTCCCAATGCCGAGGAGAGTGGCATTGAAGCTTAATAAATGTTTAATGAATGAATTTTGGGTAAAGCAATAGGGAGTTTGGGATGGTACTGCCTTTTTAAAAAATCTCATTTAGGGCTGTTGAGACACAGGACTATCAACTTTAAGTTTTTCCGAGGACATTATGCTATTCTTTGTGACACACAGGGTGAGCTTAACAACAGCTGTTCTTCATGAAGCTATGCTCAGTTCAAGGTCTGAGCCATTTCACAACAGATAATTCCCACCTTCCGTCGCACATTTCCACCTGCTGGCATTCCTAATGGTCTCTCACTTTTGTTCTCTGCTGTCTTCTTATCCTTCATTAGTTATTCTGCCTTTAAACTGAATTTGTCCGTTTTAGCCAACTACACAGTACTTTCTTATGTTCTTTTCAATCTAAGAGTTTGTCTTTCATGCTTCCCACCATGAGGATGCTAAGAAAACTCACACCTCTCCCAGGGTTTTAGTGGGTGAAAACACAAACGGACACTGATGTAGCCATCCCATTCCTGGAAATGTTTCTACAGAAATATGAGCACAACTGTGAAAATCTATTCTTTCCAGCATTTCTGCAATAGCTCCAAACTGGAAACAACCTAAATTTCACCAGCATGGAAATGGTTAAATAAGTGATATTATATCAATATTATGGAATAATATGTAGCTATCAAAAAGAGTAAAGTAGCCTGGCCTGTGTGGCTTAGTGGTTGAGCATCGACCTAAGAACCAGGAGGTAAGGGTTGATTCCCGGTTAGGGCACATGCCTGGGTTGTGGGCTCGGTCCCCTGTAGGATACGTGCAGGAGGCAGCTGATCCATGATTCTCTCTCATCATTGATGTTTCTCTCTCTCTCCCTCTCCCTTCCTCTCTGAGACCAATAAAAACATATATTTTAAAAGCATAAAGTAAATTAGGTGCCAACATGGAAATTCATTTTTAATATACGGTAAAGTCAGAGAAAAGCACAATATCTACTAGTGTGTGTAGAATATATAGTGGATCAATGCATCTAATACAATCCAATTTCTTTAAAAGTACCTATTTTTTTCCTCTCCCTGGTATATTCTTTTCCTGCATCGTCAACTCTCTAGGTCCTTGTTATCATTCAGCTCAAATGTTGTGTCTTTATCTCAGAGGTCTCCCCTGGTCACCCTGCCCTCCACCAACCCACATCACTCTGCCCTCTTACCCTGTCTTATTTTTTCACAGCAGTTACCATGATCTGAAGTTATTCATTCCCATGTTTACTACCAATCTCCTGCAACTAGAAAATTAATTCCCTTAGTCTGTTTTATTCGCTATTATCTTCCCGTCATCTACAACATTGCAATTGGATAAAGTGTTCAGTAAACATTTGGGAGAGAAAGAAACATGTATCTCTTTGTATGTTCTAAAACTTTAAAAAGTGTGAACAGTTACTACGTATTGAATATTTAATTGGAAGGTATACATGTGAAGTGGGATTGGATATGGAGAGGAAAACAGCT